TTCTGAATTTACAGCAAAGCTCATGAGCAAGGGACCTGCTTTCTTGGAACCTGCAAGTCTTCTTCTTCTTCCAACAGTCAGTTCTGCTCCTTCATTTCAAAGCAGATCCAGTTTGCATTGCTGTATGCTCATTTATAGAAAGCAGGTGCTTCAAAAAGAAGCAGTGATTTTCTGAATAAGTTTCTCCTTTTTGGAATGGTTGCTGTGGTGAGGATCCTGGGAGCGACAGCCTCCAAACCGAGGAACAGAACTCAACTAAAATTGGCTTGCCAAAGCACAGATGTCTTGAGCAGAAATGTTGAAGTTGACTTGCTCTGAAAAAAATGAGCATATTGCCCAGAAATTACTCCTGTGAGCCTGATGGAGCCATTTTGTGACTCCTGTGCAAGCAAAGGTTCGATCTGCACTTAATAGAAGTGCTGGATAGCCATGCCAGTGGGAGTGTGGTTTTTCTGATGAAAAAGTATAGCTCCAACAGGCATGCTCCTACCCTGAGGTAAAGTTGTTTTATATAGGCATGGTTATTTCTTCTCCACAAGGGAGTTAAAACAAGAGCAAAAAGCACCATTAGGCTGACGTAATTGCATCATGATGGTGCACTGATTAAACTACACGTGCTCCAGGATCCAGAGGATCTTCCAGATCTCCCTACGTAGAAGATATCCTCCACTAGACCCAGTGACAAGGGCACACAAAACTTGTGCACCAGACTGCAGCAGGTCAATTTGCCTCCTTGAGGGCTATTTTTGGAGTTGTCAGGGCTTTTCTGCTGCTCCTTAGCTATCATTAATTTTAGGCTTCAAAAAAAACAATTAGGGGAACTAACGAATCACATCTTGGACTGAGTAGGTCTTCACAGACACACAAGGAGCCAAGGTGAGGCTGACAGAAATGAGGATGTTGTGAAGATGAATAAGGGTCTGGGAGATGAATGCCATTCGACCTGGTTTATCAAACGACCCAGTGACAGTGGTGAGAAAGCAGTGGCAGGTAGACTTGTTGTGGCAATGTGCAGCAGAAGACAACTGTGCAAACTGCATTTCCTGCACGTGAGACTGGGCAGCTCTGATTTTTATACTGTGCAGAATTAAAAGGACAGTGTCACCAAGGTGTGTTCTTATAATTTGCTGTTATTTGGAGATCAATGGTTCCTTGCCATTCTGCTTGTGCACACAAAAAGTCATCTTGGTCATTAAAATACAGACTTCTGCTGGAAGATTATTCCCTACATCTCTCAGAAGCTGATATAATTTTGTGGCCAGTATACGTCTCCCTTGTTCTGTATCATAGTAATAGTAACACATTTGCATTTTAGGTGTTGACATCACACTGTGTTTTTGTTTCGATACTACACATCCAAGCCTCCTGTGTTTCACCTTGGGTTGCTATTTCTGTAGCTGGTCCCCAGGCAGCCCTGGTTCCAACAGTCCTGCTAGGCAATGCAGAGTTGCCACCTCTTGGCATTATCGCAGCTCACACATTGGCTATGTATCTGAAATCCAAGATCCCTGGAGTCACACCTGAACACCCATCTCTCCCCCTGTCTTAGAAACAGAAATAAAAAGACCACAGAAGAATCTTGAAAAATTTTAGCGTTCAAAGGTGCAAAAGGTGTCATCTCCAACAAGTCAGAATAAAAAACTACTTCCATTTTAAGATTTTGGTGTCGGGAGTAATGTCCATTCTAGTGAGCAAGGTGAGATGCCAGAGGCAGGTCCTAGCAGGGTCTTGTATCAAACAGTGTCATGAATCAGACAGCCCTGCACAGGTCTCAAGTTCACTATACTGCATGGACATTGGAAAGAACATGTAGGCGCGCTAGGCCTCAGTACCTTGAGGTAAGCATGTCCATGAGGCACTGGAGATCCAAAGGCAACATCACTAAGTAGGACTTTGTCCAGTAAGGAGTCACTGAAGAGAAAATGCAGCACACCTAGAGGCTTTGCAGGTGCAAGACCTCTGGGGATGGTCTGCAGACACCTAAGCACCAAGTCCTTTTGTGAGGCTTGAACACTGAGCAGCTGAAACATAATGAGATGGCACAGAGGGAGCTACCGTTTCCCAGAGAAGAAACACAAGCCTCTCCCCTGGGTGTCACAAGCTCTGTCCTCTGCTCAGCTCAGACAAACAACAGCCAGACGGTGAGGGGAGGGCAGAGCCAGAGACACAGGCTCCTGACAGCCATTCTGGACTGAAATCCTACAAAGAGGCTCTCTCTTCTGCAAAGAGGCTCTGGGCTGATATTCCTCAGAGGAAGCCAGAAACTGCCACTGAGGAGCAAGCAACAGCAAAAGCCCCTGCAGCCACACACCTGAGGGCTGGAGGGCAAGCCAAAAGGGTCCGCTTCATAATACAGCACATTTTTGTAGGTAGTTCATAAAGAGTTAATAAATGATAACTACAGGATTACTGTGACTTAAAGACACTTCTGAACACATCAGAAATATGGCCCATAACACGTTTCTGAGGAGCTGTGCACTAAAACAGCTCATTACCTGCCTGAAACCTTTTGAAAAGACTTCTGATGAGATGAAGCCTAAAACTGAGGGCTAGATTGATTAGGTGATGGGGCTTTGAGCCACTGGCAGGCTCAGAACTCTCCAGGATAAGAGCTCCTGACCTCCTACTGAGAAATGACTGCTGAATGGGGATCCCCCTGGAGCCTGGAGAGCTGGTCTGCCTCTTCCGTTACAAAGCTGGAGGCTGTGATTAAAGGAGAGCCCAGGCGTCCAGGAACCGCAGCAGCGCGAGCAGGAGCGTGTGACCGTGCCGCCACAGGACAGGGGAGCCGCAAGCCGCCCTCCTCAGAACAAGCGAGCCGGGCGCAAGCAGCCCACGAGCCCACGCGCGCCCCCACGAAGCTGCCTTCGCTCCAGCCCACGGAGAGCCAGGGCTGGAAACCCAGCGGCAGCGGAGCGCCAGAGAGTCCTGCAGATGGAGGGAGGGAGCAAACGCGGATGGCAGGTTCGGGGGGACAGCAAAAGGACTGGGTAAGGAAGCAGTTACAGGAGCAAGGCAGAGACGCACTGGGGATTCGGGGGAGAACACGCCTCCCGCCCTGAGCCGAGCTGCTCAGGTGAGTCTCAATGTGCTTTCTGTCCTAGCCTGTGGGGGAGTTTTGTGGCAGGTCACAGTGACACAAGGGTCTGTGAAGCGAGTCTCCAAGGGCCGTGGCTCTTCAGGTGACGTCCCTCTGTCTCTCTAGCTCCACGAACACACAGTTGGGCAGCGGCTCACAGCTGTGCTGAACAGAAGGGACTGGAGAGCAAGGGACACTCAGAGATGGGCAGTTGTGCCTTCAAGCTTGGGACCCACAGCTCCGCTCAGCATGCCGACATCTGGGCACGAGGGGAAGGCTGAAGGACTCTGAAACAATTAGCCCCCCATGCCTTGTCCAATGGATGCCAGAGGGATGCCAGAGACAAGACCGACTGGACCTACTAGACGGACAAAGACTAGACTGTTTCTAATACAATTTCTGCCCCTGGATCTCTACCTGAGTGTGGCCACTCCAGCTGACCAGGAAAGAAGAGAGCCCGAGGCAAGGAACGCCGGGAGCACCATCCCACAGCACCATGTCCCTGCCCACCCTGGCCCAGGGAGAAACCATCACTGGGAACTTTCCCGGCAGCTATGGCAAATTATTCTGAGAGGAAAAACAATCCTGTGATTGCCTGCCGCCTCGGTTTCCCTGAATATGCAATGGAAATGCGGCAGGGGAAAGAGACAGCTTTAATGGTGAGAGAACACCAAAACCTGGATAAGCAGAGCTTTGAGAAGGCAAAGGATGCCTATTCATTGAAAGGCAGGAGTTTCACAGCTACTTGTGAGCAATTCCTGCTTCGGATACGGTGGGGGTGGCTTTAATTGCTGTCCTTGCCTGGTGTTACTAACTTATAAGATAAAACCTAAATATTCATTAAAGAATCATTTCCCCCCCTTTTTTTTTTTTAAGTCTGAGGCCTTTGGGGCCTCATAATCTAATTAAATAAAGCTTTCTCACTTTCCTCTCACCTGCTCCCCTAGCTTCCATTGTACCAGAGAAGGCAAATATATATTTTTAATTTAGCAGAATCCCTTGCATGGTGTATCCCCTCCTGACCAGAAAATGTCAGCTCCACTCTCTCCATGGCAGCCCTGTTTGCCTGTATCCTGCCGGGGCGGGCTGCATCCACAGGATGGTTATTTTTGATCCTAGAAAGCACATGAAATACAAGGGCCCCAGTGAACCTCCATCTCCTTAAGCTGTCAGGGTACTCAATGTCCTCAGACAATGGGCAAATTTTGAAAACAGGCTGGCATTAGCAGAGTCCCACCAATACAAGCTGGTGAGGTAATCCTGACATTAGGAACAGTGCTTTGTGTCACGCTGAGCATGCAGATCCCATCTAACAGTGTGCAAGGTCCAGCCACAAGGACAAGCAATGAGGAAAGGACACTGCTTCAGGACATGCAACAGGGAGAGGCACTGGCTGGAAACGAAGAGCCGCGCTATCCTCCCATAATCTCAAGTGCCTAACACCAGCTAACATGAAGTGGCTGTACAGAGTAGGAGAAAGACCTTTCCAAGGCTGCAGGACCCAGGGCTGGCTGCGGGGGATCTGGCAGGTCCTGATTTGTACAGATTAGGGTATAGAAGCTTCTCTGAGCTGGTCCAAGACACCCAACTACAGTCTGGATGCTGCAGAGAGGAAGGAAAACACCACAGAGAATTCTCTCTCCATCCATATGAGGCTTTTTCTCAGAACCATGTGAAATTTTTTGGAAAAATTGTTCATTGGCTGAAAAATGCAGTTACAGGTCAGATAAATCGTAATTGGATTTGTGCTGCATTTGTGCTGAAACCACTGAAGAGCATCAACTAGACTAAAAAAGATCCCTAAAGTAAAGAAGGAAAAAAAAAAACAGCAAGGACTGAGGCTCTTGCATTAACATTGCAGACCATAAAAGAATGTTGCATTAAAAAAAAATGGTAACCTTTATTCTGGTATCTTACTTACTCTCCTAACTTGGAGCTGCAGTTTGTCTTCTGAGGAAGTTGGTTTCACTCCAGTACCAAGTGCGTGAAAGGCCACAGAGAGACCAGGAGCTCAGCTGCATTCCCTGGAAGGAAGATACAAGACAGGAAGTGACCACATAGGTCACCAAATCCAGCTGTGGACGCCTCAGTCCAGAAAATGCTCCATCTGCAGGATCACAGAACATGCCCATCCCATCACCCCACCCCAGCTCCCTCTGTGCAACGCTCACAATGTAGTTAAAAATTCACCAGAGACCTCCACAGTGCTAAGGTACCTAAGCTAGAGAGATCGAGATACAAAAGCAGCAGACTGAGACTTTGCTATAGCAGGTACTTTGGGAGGCGATCCTAGGAACCAGAGCATGTGCCATGCTACTGAGGAGGGCAGAAAGTGTTGGGATGAATTCCCTACCCACCCTCCTTGAAATAAAACACCATGACTCTCTTGAATTTCCTGCCTGTACAAAGTGTCTCAAGACAACAACAGGGCATCCTACCAAGACAGCCATTGCTTGGGGCCATTCAGGATGCCTCAGTGAGGAGGCAAGTGGATTAAGAGGGAGTGAAGCAAGGTCTTCCTGAGCTGGTGACACCACAGAGGTGATACCACAACCGGTTTGATGGGGATCAAGCAGTGGCTGCTTTTGGGTATGCTCGTTCTGTCCAGTACACATTCCCACACACCCTGGGCCTAGCACAAGCATGGATCCTGCCCAGGGCAGGGGGAATAGCTGTTCCTTCAGAAACACCCTAAAGCACAGTGCCCAGGCTACCTGCCAGCTCTGCATCCTCAACAGTTCTCAGCCAGGCTCCCTAAGACTGGCTTACACATCAGAGGGCTGAAAAATTACGAGGGAAGGATGTGGGGAATGAAAAGAACAAAAAAGGAGGGGATGACAAATAAAACGTGGGGCTGAAGACACAGATGAGAGAAACTGTCCAACCAATGTGACGTTGAGCCAAAAGACCAGAAAGAGCATGGAGACCACAAGAGAGGTTTCCGGGCCTCCGCAGCACCACGTGTTTGATCAGACTCTTTATATGCTTTGGCCCTGCCTGTTACAAGCGAGAGAAGCACTGGGGCTGCTCCACCAACTGCGTCCCAGTTTTCCCGAGCTCTCAGAGAGCAGAGCAGATGAGACTGGTACAGAAGGATGGGAGCAGACAAAGAATATCCAATACATTAAGGAGGCAAGTTGGAGAGAAAGGTGTAGCATTTGCTCTGAAGAAGGAATTACTGTCATCCTGGCCTGAGATCTGAGCAGAACTAGGTGCCGTCAAGGGTCAGGAAAGCTGCACTACAGACTGCACAGGAAGGCCTCCCTATTCATCTCCTGGAGGTCCCGCAGGAAGACAGAGGGACAGCAGTGAGCATGAAGAGTGAGGCAGGTATCTTCTGGTCTTTCCAAGTTTCTTTCTCCCAGTATGCTGTAACCTGCAATCCACCTCCCAAAGGCCACAGAGAGAATGATGGAGGGAGCCAAGAATGGATCCTCTCCCTCTTGGCTATGATGATGGCACCGTAACCACTTGCTCGACATCCCTGTCTGGACTGACAAGGTACTTGTGTTGCACTGATGCCAGCCCTTTGGGGAGTGTGCAGCAGCCTGATGCTGCCAGTCACAGGATCGCAGCTCCCCTTCTCATCTCCATGTGTGTGCACGTTCTCTGCTGGGCCATGCTTTGCCATAGAGAAGTATCCTGAGTTTCATATGCAGAAGGCAGGACCTCTTCAGACCCACCAGGCTCGTGAGAGCCTGGACGCATTGTTTCTCCCACGGACCTTGACCAAGCACATCCCACAGAAAGGCATTTCCCTGGCCAGGTTCTTCTGTCCTGTCTTCTCGACAAGGAAATGCCTCTCCAGCCCGGAACTTATCAACCAGCAGAGCTCCATGGGCCTTAAGACTGCCATTTACAGCAACTGCTCATCCACTCCAGCGACACCCACGTATGATCTCCAAGTTTCCCTTCAGAGGCAGCCACTCTGTCAGTACCCAGCGCTTTGGTGGCAGGAGCAATGATTGTCCACAGACCAGAAAACATCCTTCTTGCAACACCATCAACCTGGGCATGTCAGCATGGCCATACATGAATGTATGAGCAGAGCAGGCCTTCCCATTCCCTTATGGCAACAAGTATCAACTCCAGCACTAGGTAAAACGCCTGCATTTATCTGAGAGGGCAATTTCACACAACACTCCAAAGTTCACAGGGGACTTAGTGCTTCAATCCCTTTAAAATGGTGGCCTGACACAATCAGTGCCATATGCCTTGTGGCAAGCATGTCATGTATAAATCATCGTAGGGGCTGAAGTCTTATATCTTTCGTATCAACACTGGATGGAGGCTCTGCATTTGGAAGTACACAGATAGGTAGAAAACCCATGGGGGAAGAGGGCAGAAAAACTTCAGATAATGGGGAAGAGGGAAGAGAGAGGATGGGGCCACTAAGTAGAAGTCAAGGAGAACAGTGCAGGACAAAACAGAGTGGGAAGAGAGCTGTACAAAGCACCAGGTGGAAAACAACGGTGCAAGGCATCAATAAGGGCTTCACACCCAGGGCTGGATGCAACCATAAAGCACAGCCAGGGAGCTCCTCCTCCCAGGCGCTCAGCTCCAGGTAAACAGCCGCGTGGCCGGGCTGTGGTGGGTTGCATAATGACATGGAAGGAAGGGGGCTGCGTTTTGATTTACCCCGTATGTCCGGTCAGAAAAGGATGTCCTTATTTCGGACATGAGAGATGTTGATGTAAAACTGCTTGACCCCACTCCTATCACCTGGCTATAATGTGTGGCCTCAGCAAAAAGTATATTCCATCCACCCAGAGACCATGGACTGCTCTCCATCCTCCTCCTCCCAGTGCATCCATAAACGGGAGCACAGCACCTTGCTGCCGAACTGGCCTCACGGTCAGAGAAGGCACTTCCTGGCACATCTCCTGTGATCTCTGTCAACACTGTCACTGTGACCTTGGGGAGGTCCCTTGTCCGCTCCAAGCCTCAGTTTCCCTAGAGAACAACACAGGCATGTCCTGGGGTGGACGGCAGAGCAGCAATGAGCTGCGACAGGAAGAAACTCCAGATTAATTCACAACTACTTGACTTCCAGCTTCACGGATCCAAGAGGATCTTGAGGGAAAACCACCCACGTCATTTCCACCTGTGCTTAACTTTTAGTGGGAAAGAAGAGCCAAAATGAGAACCATCCATTTTGTGAATCGGACATCTCTCAGACTTCCCCTCTGGGCTTGGCTGCCCACTTTCAGACTTTCTCCATTGTTTGCTCGGGCTTCTACAGGAAAAATCATGTTAAAGAAAATCCTAGCTGAATCGCACACTTCGAAGCAGTTGTAATGGACAATTTGACAGGGACATGGGGATTTAACACGTTTTGTAAAAAAAAAAAACTAATGATAATATGCTACACTGCTGGCTAAAAATGTTATCTACTGGCATGGGAGGAATTTAAGCTGTAATACAAGGTAATATAATGCAGGCCTGGAGCTCCATGCAAATATTACCCTGATCCAAGAGCTACAAAGCTCTGTTTATCCTAGTAATTAATTCTCTCCTCTGTTTAGTGATATAATTAGAGAAACACTGCCATTCTGATGGGCTTGTTTCCACCAATGCCTTTTACTATGTTTACAGCCCCACAATAGGCTTGGGCTTACAGAAAAGGGTGAAATTGTATTTATGGAGACAATGCCACACGCATTCCCAAAGCTTTTTACAGATATAAACTTAGGTTCCAAATTACACATTTATTGTGCGAACATACAATGAGCTCCGATTAAATACTGACTAAAACCAGTCTAACACCCCAAATAATGAAGATGAGCACAATAGTGTGATTTACTTTCAGCCACTACAGAAATACACATCTGTAACATATTACATGCTTTTTCCACAGATACACTCTTTGTGTTCTGGCTAGCCTTAGGCAGGAAAATTTCTTCCTCATACATTATGGATTTTCTTTCCCAGCTGCCAACACATTCACGTAACCAGTTGCAAGGAACAAAATCAAGCAACATTCCTCTTGTTTAGTGATGAGCAGGTGACTGCCTGCCTGTAATGCCAAAGTTGAGACAAGAAAATGGAAGATAAATGTGGTAAAAATCACAGAATCCTTTTCCTTTTGTCCCCCAAAACGTGGAGGCCAGCAGGAAGGTGTGGGCATGGCATCTTTTATACCTTTTTAGAAAGTACTCCCAGCCCTCGCTGTGGCTCTGAAAACTACCTGTCCTCCTTGCGGCTTCCTCCTCCCCAGGCTGGTAGGAGAAATCCAATGAGACCCAAATGCTAATATCACAATTAAGATAATAACACAGCACTGAGGGGGGCCAACACACACCCTTCCCTAGAGCTCGACCTCTAAATCCTGTAATACGGTATTGCTTCATTGAAGATTAAAAGAAATTGCAACCTAGCACCAACAAGAAGACACAGGAGGGAAGGCAGGCTCTCGCTCGGCAGAGAGCCTTACTCCGGTCCAGATGCAGTCATATCACTCCAGCTTCTCCATACCATCTCCATGACAACCATGTAATTCGGATGCAATAACCACTGCTGAATTGATCTTTAAATGTAGCTTTGTTAGAAAACACAATACTGAAAACGTCAGGCTCAGGATCAAGAAAAGTAGCCCCATCCAAATGAGGGCTGTGATTAAAGAGCCTCCTTTTAATTGGGAGCTGCCATACGGTCTCACGGTTTCAATAATTGCATGAATGAATGGATTTTGAAATTGGTAACAGCAAAACACCATTTGTGAGTGTGTGTGTGTGTATGTGTACAGCACGCTGTAGTGTAACACCCCCAGTGAGACACCCCATTGAGAGTTGGAAAAATGTCTCACTGTATATTCAGAGAACAGGCCCCTTTCCACACACACCCGCTCACACACACACACGTATAAGAAGCAATTTGATCTCCAGCAAACGACACAGGCAGTGGATTCATCAAATAATCCTAATAAGAATCAAAAACTACACAACTGAGCAAAATAGGATGTGGGGAAGGAGGTACTGAACAACAGACAATGAGAGCAGGGGAGTTCGTTTTTGCACTTACCCGAGCAACGAGCTGCTTATTCCTTAGTGCCTTCACAAAATGCAGCTCTCTTTTCTCTTCAACAATCCATGTAAAATAATCTGCAATTCCACAAGCAGAGGAGCAGCCCCATCCCCCTCCACCACCACCTTCCTGGACTTCCCTTTTATTGGCTTCCTTTTTCTTTCCTCTCCCTCTCTCCTGCTGGAGATGGTTACACCTCCCAGCCTTCCCTCGAGGTGTCAAGAGATTGCTAGGGATCCAACAGGCAGGAGGGGAGGGAGGGACGGGAGAAGGGGAGGAGGCAGAGAGCGATGGTGAATGGACCCAGTGAAAGGATGGAAGAAAAGACCTTGCTGCGAAGCCCACACGGCAGGAGCCGGGTCGCCACGGGGCTGGGACGCTCCGCGCAGCGCCCGGCTGGGCTGGGGCTGTCCCCCCCCTCGGCACAAAGCCCTGGTGAACAGGTCTGCTTTCTGCACGCACAGCACCTCCCTCCGAGCTGCCTGCAGGGACCCGTGCGCTCAGCACGGGCACACGGAGCGCTGCCAGCACCTCACGGCAGGCGCCCAGCTCCGCGGGGCCTGCTCTGCATCCCCGCAGCCTTCGCGGCATCGTGCCCCGCCACCGAGAGCCCCACTGGCCCTCAGCAGCTTTGGGGCTCCCCACCGACCCTCCCACTTCCCCTGGCTCTGCAGCAGACTGGAGCACTCCAACGCCTGCCGTCACTCAAGGGCTTCCTTGGCTAGGGCTCTGCTATTGGCTAGCCTTGGCTAGGCTTATTTCTGGCCTGCCGCAGTGTGGGGCCAAGTGTGGTGCAAGCTGGGACAAAACACTAGCCCTCTCTTAGGGAATCCCGAGCGTGTGCACAGACCCGTCTGCTGGAAGGTAAAAATGCTCCCTCTTGTGCATTTGGTGGCTGCGCTGGGCCGGGGGTTCTCTCGAGCACATGGCTCAGGGGTGGGAGGACTCGCTGGGTCTCACAGGGGTTCTCCGCCCCCCAGCGCACGCACTGCCTCGTCGCTGCTTTGGTTTCCAGTCATCCCAACTGGACCACAACCCACTGAAAGGGCCTGTGGCTCCCTCAGATTGAATTCACTGCAGGGTGGTCGGCTGTTGGGATCCTTTGTGCAGCACTGGGAATGCCACCACATTGAGACAGGCCACATCCCAGGAATGAGCACAAACCAGGATGCTCCCTGTCACCCTGGGTGCCTCAAAGAGCAGCGTGACCCCTGCCTGTGCTGGCACTGCCAGCGGGAGCAATGCTCTCTTCTACAACCCGTGGATGACCAAGGGCTCCTGCAGCTGCACCAAGAGAAAGCAGCACCCCCAGGCTGCTGCTCCCTGCAGGCCAAAGACAAGAGCTCTGGTCTCTCCCACCTACCTGTTTCGATGGAGCTGATGGCTTCACTGCTCCCTGGACCTGTCTCTAGATCTCTCTCTAGGCCTCTGCTTCTATTAGGAAGCTTATTCCAGAGCATATACGCCTCTGAACATAAAATGAAATAAAGAAAACAACCCTTCAGTTGAATACTGTATTATGAACTGACAAATCTCCAATGTCCTGAATTAAAAATACCATTACAATCTATCGGATTACATCCAAACACCAAAGCAAAACCATTAGATGAAATAATGTCCTGGAGCAGCATAGCAGAACACAGCTGTATATTCTTCCAGAAGGGATACCCCCCAGCACAGAAGAGCACACAGGGTTGTTTGCCAGGGTTAGTATCTGTAATGAACCATGTAATGAGCCACCCCGCAGCTATACTCAGGAGTTATCCAACGAACACAAGTGTGAATGAAGGTTACTGTGCTGAGGAGACACACGAAATAGGTATCGTGGCCACGGACAAGGCCAGTGAACAGCCTGACAAATTCAGGTGTGGAATTCTTAACCTTCCTCTGGGTTCTTTTATCCGAGAGACATCATTCAAGCTATATCATCATAAAAGTCTCTCCTGTTCCACTTTCTGATCAATTTTAATGTATTTGTAATCAGCCAGTTATCAGGTTAGTGTGTTTAAAAAAAAAATCAATATTCATCCATCTGTTGTACCGTTTGGGCCCGAAGTAGTCAAATCCAATGTCTGTGCAGCGAGTCCCAAGAAGTGACATTTACAGTATGAGAATGAGGTTCTAGTTTCTAAGAATACATCCCCTAGCTGAGATCCAGAGAACCAGACTATCAATCACCTTGCTCCCATCAACAGCTGGATTCAGGGAGAAGCCTCCTCTCAGCCCACGAACAGTGCTGCACGTTTGTCTATATCATTTATGATACAGTACTAGCAATAAGTGAGTACCAACACTTTTCCTAGTCCACCTGCAAAGCTGTGTTAGGTGCCTTAGATAGGCCATAATTACATCTTGGAATTAAAGAGAACTCTGTGGCTACGGCCATTTTGCACATGCCATTTAACTGACTGGATGTGCACATGAGCCATGCAGGTGTCGTTTCCCAACCTTTGGGAGAAGTTACTCTCCTTACACACATGGGCCTTATCCACCAAGGGCAAATGCAAGCACGTGGCTGGGAGCCTTCCGGACAGCAGGGAGGCGCAGGCAAAGAACTAAGCACAGCAACCACAGGGCAAGCGTGGATGCTAGCCACACTCTCCAGAGCATGGAAATGCACTGCCTTGGTTGGTGGGGGAGGAGGGCATGTCTAGAAAACGGTGGGTATTTGCATCCTAAAGTTGTACGCAGGACTCTTACCCACATTGCACCCACTGCCAAACCCGAGCCTTCTCTCTAAGGTCGGCAGTTCTGCAACCCAGGTCCTCCTGCCCCTTCTCTCCAGGTGCAGAACCCAGGCACAATTACAGACCTACAGGATCAATCACCTTCACCCAACAAGTAAGAAAGTGCCTGAACTGCAGTTAAGACAAGGCCCTGAGCTGTAATTTTGCTGCTCTGTTGCAGGTAATTTTTCAACAATGTCCAAGGCATGATACTCGGAGTGGCACACAAGGACATTCCTAGAAATTTACTTTTTTACAATGAAAACACTGCAAGTGTTGGGGTGTGCCCAGGAATGATTTTGCTTTAGTGCCCTCCCAAAATTATTTCTCACTGAAAATCCTTTGGATTTCCTAGTTGGAAGTCAGGAACTTACAATACAACCAACACTGATGCAAGCCATACTTAGGAGAAAGCAGGGCCAGGACCTTCCTTGCTGTGTGCTCCTTGCAGGTAGTTTGGATAAAGAGATTTGGAAGGGAATAAAAGCCCTCTGAAAAGGAAGGGCCAGTCCGTGTGAGCCTTTGTCTGCATTTCTCCTGATACCCCCAAATCAGCTTTTTTCTCTGGATAATAGCTTCCATGAAAAGTCTACCCTACAGCTGTTTGCGTATTGATTGCCGAGATGTCACATTAGGAAGAGCAGAGCTCATGGCGAGAGGTGTCACTGCAGCTCTTCCAGGGGCTGGAAGAGAAGAGATTTGTTAGCCTCACCCCAGGTGGGCGGCTGATGGACAGAACCAATGTTTTCAAAATAATGATAAAAAGAAAAAAAAAAAAAGCTGTAGGCAAAGAGCTTCTTTAGAGCGTTCAGGGCAGGGGAGCCACTAACAAGTCTGTTTAGCTGTTTAGTAAATCCCAGGTCCTTCATACAACCACTTCTGTTGGTGGCAGCTTTCAATCTCCGGTTGTTCTTGCATTGGGTTAGCCTGATGACACAGCCCTGTTACTGAAAAATAACCGATAACTAATACTGAATATTCTCTCTGCAGAGCTGCACGGGCTGTGATCAATTCTCCTTATAGCCTACTTACAGATATGCAAAGCAGGTGGAACTCGGTTTTTGTCTCCATGTGAGCCTGGTTTTCCACATTTCCATCCATTCTTTCGGCTCCTTGATAGCTTTCCAAGTACGGGTTGTACAAGAGGGCTCAGAATTGGGTACCACCCTGGCCAGTGCTTAGTGCAGAGATGCCACTACCTCCTCTCGCCTTGCTGTACCCTTCCTCGCAGGCGCAGCAGGGACACATGGCACCCTGTCCCACCTCGTCGCGATGCCAGGAGCTCCTGCTCGCTGCTGGAGTAGGACCACCATGGGTTTTCCCACACGCCAGCGTTCCTGATAGTCATGGGACACTAAAAGAGCGGCGACACCAGGGCATACGGAGCTGTTCCCATCAAGGCACTGAGGAACTGACATTTGACAGCTCTCCAGGAAGATACTGTGGATCTATGGGCCACCATCCTCTCCAGTGCCCTTCTGGAAATGCCAAGCAGGCACTGCTCGCAGACTGAACCTACTGTGCCAGGATTAGCCACCTCTTCTGTGCAAGCATGAGGGGTCTTGATGTGCTCTGGCGGTACCTGCATCCCGCCTCATGGGTGCGTTTCTGCCTGGGAAACAGACAGGTCCCTGTCACACTGCTGCTTTCCAGAGCAGCACTCTGAATCTGACTGCTCTTCTCAACTAGCCTTTCAGTTTTCCACATTACGTAAATGTTAAACAACCACCTTCTTTCACTCTTTGGGATTTTAAAATACTATTGCTGGGTTTTGTTTTCCTTAATAAGGATAGATTCTTAGCTAAGGATACTTTGATGACTGCAAAGCTGTATGCATGTCTGCAGAGGAAATGGCATCTACCAATGTTGTCTTAAGCAACTCTCAACTATAATACACATTATTTTGTTTCCTTTTCTTCTTCCAAACTTTTTTTTTTTTGCTTGTAAATTGTTCTTATCTTAGGAAAACTGACCCCTTTAAGGTGCCATGCATATGTTCTACCATTTAGAATTACACTCTCTCTGCTTGTAACAAATGCAATTAGGTCATTTAAGCAACCATTAATTCTGAATTCAGTACTCAATTCACTCGGATCTGTCAGGGTGAGGTCTGATACAGAATTGCAGTAAGTTCCCTGCAATATTTGGTAAAAGAAAATTATCATCCATCATTCTTGAAACTCTGAGGCCATAGTATTGGCAGCAGCAGGAGACCTTCAGCATCTGTCCCTGAGGCTGAAAAGCTGCTCTGTGAACACTG